TTAAATACTTTTATTGGGGCCTCTTGCATCTCATCACAATCCATACTTTCATCCATTGTGTCAAGCACATTTGCATCTATGCTGCCATCATCATTTAAAAAACATTTTCTTTCTACTTGAGCCCTTGATATCAGCTCCTCATTTTCCCTTCCCCCACCCTCCCTCCCAAATGAACCCTTGATAAGTTATAGATTATTATTTTCATATCTTACATTGCCCTTTGTCATCCACTATAATTGGACATCCCCTCAAAGAAGTGTCAGAAGGAAGAGAAGAGCCAGTCAGGGTGCGGTATAGCACCAAAGAAACACACAGTTTTCCCTAGTTCTCTAATGCTTCCTTCCCTCCTGTATCATGACCTCAATTCTACTTTACAAATCAGATTAGAACAGAACATGCACACTGCTACAGGTAAGAGCCCAAAACACAGGGAATCCAGAATAGATAAACCCCTCAGCGCCAACAATGAGAATAGCAATACGAGGAGGATTAGGGAAAGGTGGGGGGAGAAAGGGGGAATCAATCACAAGGATCAACATATAAGCCCCTCCCAGGGGAACGGACAGTGGAAAAGTGGTGAAGGGCTGGCTATATCTTCTAATAGTTATGCCCCATCAGCTTTCTTCACCACATGTGCTTATGCATCCATTTGGCCTTCAGCAATCGGGAAGGTGAGCATCATAGAATCCTTTGACTTTCTTTGTTTGACGTTCTTGTTATCATCTCATAAATGATCTGTTCTTCAGTCATCAGTGCTCAATATATCAAATCTGAGATGCTCTCTAAATTCTAGTGGGTCATATTTTGGCTCCTGCGGACCTGTTTTAATTTTCTTTGACTTCAACCTGAACTTGCACTTAAGCAGTGATGATCTGTTCCTCCTTGGGAACTGGGGCTCATTTTGATTTATTAGGTTCTTTTCTTTTTCCACAGTGTCATTAAGTGGATAGCAGTGTGTTCTATCTGGTGAGGTCTACATGGACAGTCACTATTTATGCTGTTGGAAGAAGCGGTTTACAATGACACAGTCATTGGTCTTGCAACATTCTGTTATGTGCTCTCTCACTTTCTATCACCAAAGTCATAGTTTTTCAACTATTGATAGTTCTCTCCCCCCCCCCAAGCTTTTGTGTTCCAATCACCAGTAGTTATCGAGTCCTCCTCATTGCATATTGAATCTATTTCAGACTGAAGAACTTTCTTCATCACTCACTTTAGTGTTTAGAGCTTACATTTGAATAATAGTGAAGAACCAGGTTCTTGTTTTGTGTGGTGTCCATAATCTGTTTGCTCTCCGACAGAGACCACAATGAACTTCACATTGGGCCCGAAAGAAAATTTATGAATGAACTAAAATTTTCTGGTGCTGAAAGTTTTTATACATCCATGCTAATTTCAGGAAAATCAACGCCGTCAGTGTATACATGTATTTTATAAATTAAATAATTCAGTGTTGTATGTGGCTGGGGATTTTCTTACAAAGGCCCTCTGACTAACTGTGCTATATGGGAATGTGTTTGTTTTCCATAGGAAATTGCCCGGCACTTACGTGCTGGAACCCTTAGAGCAGTCTTCGGTAAAACTAAGATCCAGAATGCTGTCCACTGTACTGATCTACCTGAGGATGGCCTATTAGAGGTAAGATTCAGAAGGGTAAACGTCCTAGTTATACTTCAAACTCATAAATTAACTCAGCAGTTCCTGAAGGTGGGATATTTCTTACTATGTTTAGACTACACTTAGTTCACGATTTGACAATTTGAGACTACAATTTTAAAAGACCAAATTGCTAAGCAGTTTTGTAAGATTATATTATTCAACAGGATTAAGGTATTTTTCTGTGATGAGCATATTTATGGTTTAAATCATTTTAAAAGGAAAAACTATAGTACTTACAAATTATATGACATTTGTTTTAAATAAGGTGAAAGTATCATTATTATAAGTTGCTTGTTATGGGAATACTCCAATGAAAATTCAGAAATGCCCTGTGCAATGTGATAGCATTAAGAATTATAGCTACCATTTGTTGATACTTTTTAATGTACCAAGCTCTAACTTGATCAATGCTTTGTGCACATTATTTCTTTTAATCTCTGTAGGAAAAGTATAACAGGCTAATAATATCATGTCTTATTTCAGAAAAGATGAAATTGAGAAACAGGGAGGTTAAGGAATATCCAGAATACTTGCGGGGGGTAGAACCATATTTTAACTTTTCATATATCTGATTAATATAAAATAAGTAATAAAAAGAAATAATGAAAAAACTCTAAGAAAATATAAATGAAAGTTGATCTGATCTTCGGTTGAGCATTTCCAAGACAGAGATTTAAAAGTTTGATATTTTTAACATCTTAATTTTTTTAAACTTTTGTATGTCAAAGGGACCTAAATGAAATTAAAGATAAATAATAAATTCAAATAATTAAAGTATAAATGGCAGAAAAATTAATTTATATACTTAATCCATAAGTAACCAGGAGGTCTGGTGGCGTAGGGATTACACACTGACCTGCTAAACACAAGGTTGGCAGTTTAAAACCGCTAACCACTCTGTCAGAGCAAGATGAGACTTTCTACTCCCATAAAGAGCTGCAGTGTCAGAAACCCGCAGGGGCAGTTCTCTTAGGAACCTTGTCCTCTAGGGTCCCTATAACTCAGCATCATCTCAATGGCCTGCATTGAGTTAAGAGTTTAATACATACCGTATAGACTCGCATATAAGCCGAGTTTTACAAAACATTTTTTATGCAGTTTTTGTGGTAAAATTAGGTACCTTGGCTCATATTCAAGTTGACTTATACTCAAGTATATACGGTAAGTGATTATTTTTGTATTATTTATGTTTTATGTGGTCAAGGCAATCAGCTTTTAAAAATTAATTTCTACCTTTGAAGTTATCCATAGAGAACCGCCACAAAATCTGTGGTATACTTCTTTCATGCAAACAGTAGAGATTTGGATTTTCTTTTGCTTTTTTCAATATGGGTCTTAGATATCGCCTATTGTATTGCTTGCTATCAGGTTTATGTTACTTTTTTGAATGATGTTAATTAGCTCCTTTAAGATTTCCAACTATAATCCAAGATGTTAACCTACTAGCGTAATAGCTAAACTGGATACCCTGGTATGGAATGTTGACACACTTGTGAAATACAAATTGCAATAAACTTGATTTTTAAATTAACCAAACAAACATTTATTCTTGAATTCATTTGTTTTGCAAATGTGCATATTTCTTTCACCCTCTGAAGGTGTGTCTATAATTTTACTTTCCAGCTGCTTACAGTCTGCATTTTACAAAGTCATTTGTTAAATGATTAAAATATCTCTGACCTTACTGCCCTGGAGATTCCTTTGAGAGCAATGACTGTGCAGTTTAAAGAATTAATCAAAAACCAAGAGTAGAAACTCTTAACAGCTTCCTCTCATGTGGCAGATGATTCATGTGAGGGAGATAAGCCAGTTTTATTTCCCACCCCTCAGTTCTCTTATCAAAAAAATGCACTAAAGAATGCTGATGCAATACAAGGATGTTCTCTTGGTTAGCAATTAGCTATTGCAGGTTGTGAAGCCAGTTGTCGTTCAGTTGATTACAACACTTAGCAACCCCCGTCTCTCCAAAAGCTACGTGCTTCCCATGGCTGTGGCCATTTGGGAGCAGACTTCTAGGGCTTTCTCCAGAGACGTTTCTGAGTGGATTCAAACCTCCGGCCTTTCAGTTAGCAGCCTAGTGCATTAAACATCTGCACCATCGCTGGGGCTCCCGCAGATTACTGTTTGGCTTGAAATGGTTAAATATTGTGAAAACACTAAAATAAAAACAAAATTAGTTGCCTTCAAAGTAAAATTCAAAGCGACACAAAGACTAGCTTTCTAATCAGAGAAGCACATTGTACTTAAGATACATTGTTCATTGAGGAAACTTTGCTTAGGCGTAGTGGTCGTTTTTTAGGTGCCTTCAAGGCATTTCTGACTCATAGCAACCTTATGAACAACAGAATGAAACATGGCCCGGACCGGTGCCATCCGCACAATTGTGTTTGAGCCCATTGTTGCAGCCCCTGTGTCAATCCATCTACAAGGGCCTTTCTCTTTTTCTCTGCCCTCCACTTTACCAAGCGTGCTGTGCTTCCCTAGGGCTTGTCTCTCCTGATAACAGTACACGAGGTGAAGTCTCCCAATCCTTGCCTTTAAGGGACGTTCTGGCTGGACTTCTTTCAACACATAATTGTTGGTTCTTTCGGCAGTCCATGCTTCTTTCAATATTCTTTGCCAATACCACAATTCAAATGTACCTATTTTTCTTTTTCCTTTCATTGTCCAACTTTCACATGCATATGAGGTACCATATATACTTGTGTATAAGCCGAGTTTTTCAGCACTTAAAAAAAATCATTTTATTGGGGGCTCACACAGCTCTTAGCACAATCCATACATACATCCATTTTGTCAAGCTCATTTGTACATTTGGTGCCATGATCATTCTCAAAACATTTGATTTCTACTTGAGCCCTTGGTATCAGCTCCTCATTTTCCCCTCCTTCCCCACCCCAGCCCCCATGAGCCCTGATAATTTATAAATTATTGTTATTTTCTCATATCTTACACTGTCCAATATCTCCCTTCACCCACTTTTCTGTTGTCCATCCCTCAGGGAAGGGGTTATATGTAGATCCTTGTAATCGGTTCCCCATTTCTAACCCACCTTCCCTCTACTCTTCCAGTATCACCACTCTCAACACTAGTCCTGAGGGGTTCATCTGTCCTGGATTCCCTGTATTTCCAGTTCCTATCTGTACCAGCATACATCCTCTGGTCTAGTAAGGTAGAATTGGGATCATGATAGTGGGGGGTAGGACGCATTAAAGAACTAGAGGAACATGGTATATTTCATTGTTGCTACACTGCACCCTGACTGGCTCTTCTCTTTTCTGTGACCCTTCTGTTAGGGGATGTCCAGTTGCCTACAGATGGGTTTGGGTTCCCATTCTGCACTCCCTCTCATTCACAGTGATATTATTTTTTGTTCTTTGATGTCTGGTACCTGATCCCATCAACACCTCATGATTACACAGGCTGGCGTGCTTCTTCCATGTGTGTTTGTTACTTCTCAGGCAGATGGCCACTTGTTTATCTTCAAGCCTTTAAGATGCTATATCTTTTGATAGCTGGGCACCATCAGCTTTCTTCACCAGATTTGCTATGCACCCACTTTGTCTTCAGCGATCGTGTCAGGAAGGTGAGCATCATGGAATGCCAGTTTAATAGAACAAAGTGTTCTTGCATTGAGGGAGTACTTAAGTAGAGGTCCAACGTCCATCTGCTACCTTAATACTAAACCTATAAATATATGCACATAAATCTATTTCCCCAACATGAGCAGAAGTACCGCATATACTCGAGTGTAAGCCGACCCAAATATCAGCTGAGGCACCTAATTTTAACCACAAAAACTACATTAAAAATGTACTGAAAAACTTGGCTTATACACAAGTATATACAGTACGTGTTCTAGAATTCCCATTCTTTGAAATATTACCCATCATTTGTTGTAGCTCACACAGTCGAATGCTTTTGCACAGTCAATAAAACACAAGTGAACATCTTTCTGGTATTCTCTGCTTTCAGTAGAGATCCATCTGATGTCAGTAATGACATCCCTCATCAGTGTTGAGTTAGTTAGTTTATTGTGCCAACCTGGCCGATAAACACATGTGGGATTAATTGAAGGGCAGAGGGATAAATGGCTCGGTGAGCCT